AGAGAGAGAGAGAGAGAGAGAGAGAGAGAGAGAGAGAGAGAGAGAGAGAGAGAGAGAGAGAGAGAGAGAGAGAGAGAGAGAGAGTAGCAAACTGATAGCAGCCAGCGCCATGTGCGCAGCATCAGAAACATCTTGAGGCACTTTGGTGAAGTGCATGAGCCACCATGGAGTGGCATGTCGAGGTTGAGTGCGGGAACTGGATCTGTTTATTGGCATGAGCTGTCGTGGGATGGCATGATGGAGTAGAGCGCGGAGGTTGGAAGAGTGGGGGGTACAAAGTACTACAAACGCACCCATGATGTTGCAAGTATCACTGTCGTGATAGTTGAGACACCATCGACAAGTTTGGATGCAGTTAACGTTGAAGCAAGTCCTGGGCCCCTGACACATCATGGACATGGCCTCAAAATGCAATATTAACTTATTATTAAGTAAATGCAATATTATGCTGTTACTTAATATTGCATTTCTAGGCCATGCCCATGATGTGTCAGGGGCCCAGGACTTGCTTCAACTATAACTGCATCCAAACCTGTTGATGGTGTCTCAACGATCACGACAGTGATACTTGCAACACCATGGACAGATTCGGATTCAGTGATGCAGAACTTGCTTCAAGACAGTTCCCTCTCCCACATGACCTTCCATGCTCCTTGCGTCAATGCCAGTGCAATGGGATTGGTTCTTTCATTTTCACACTCAAGAACTGAAAAAAGAATGCCGAAGGTATAAAAATGGGGGTCTGGTCAGGAATGTGGCCGTCGGCCACCAGGTTGTGCAAACGAAGGGTCTGCACAGTTTGGGGGCCGATGCAAAACTGTCGGGCCCGATTGGGCCCATGTAGGAGCCACTAGGGTTCTACAATAGGCATCGTGAGTCTGTGTTTGGGCGCCAGGCGCCGTGTGGAACAGCGACATTGTATACATTGTTGATGGTGTCGAGTCAGTGGCTGACATTGACAATCGAGTTCATTGCTTTGCTCTGATTTGGTGTGTACTTGGTGCATTCTGCTTTCTGTGTGACACACACACACACACAGAAAAAAAAAAAGAACTATTTTCTGTGATCGAGAATAGCCGTAGAAGGTGCGGGGTAAGCGACCTGGTCAACCCGGATGTCTGTGGCAGGCCACATAATATTCTTAAGGTCCATAGGTCCAACCTCAAAGAACACAAAAAAAAATGATAAACAGGTTCCTCGCTTACTCGTACTGTGCTACAATATGCATTCAGTGTTGCCCTCCAGTCCAGAGTTATCTTCTTTAGACAAAGCTTTCAGAAATATATGAAGCAGCAAGTTCCCAGATCAACTCGTGGGAGGAGTAAGGGATCTCAAAGATGGGCAAGGGGTGGCTCCTCACTTCCCCACTTTTCTCTCCTGTACGGTCAAAGCGATCGTGGAATAAAACTACTTACTCCAGCAGCCAATAGCTGCGCCGCTGAAACCTCCCATTGTCCTGCCCTGTTGCATAGTAGCAATGCAAGACCTCCGCACTACCCACCTACACATCACAGATCAGGGCAAAAATTAAAACTAAGTTAACCATTGGACCCCTCCAAGCTTTAATGACAGCAGCAGAGCTCAGCACCCATGCAGCACCATTCTGGTGCCAAGCAAAAATTTGCAAGCACTCACAAACAAGGAGAAAGGCAAACATGTTCCTGGCTCCTGGCCGAACAGTACATACATTTGTGAAGGTGAGTGGGCATCTGAGTGGTGGATCCCCGTCGCACACTTCTTAGCGGCTGCCCGGTCTGAAAACGAAAACAACAAAGGCAAATGCATTATGTCCACTTGTTATTTAAGTGGCGGATCCCTGTTGCACATTCGTGAAGGTGAGTACATACATTATGTCTGAGTGGTGGATCCCTGTCGCACACTTGTTATACAAATCAAGAGCTCCGGTTAGACACAATTGTAATGACCCGTCATCACACGGACTGTAACAGACAGCTGATTTCTGAGTTTGCTCGTGGAATGCATGCCGTACTAAGTCCCCTGCCTGTTGAGTGGGTTGTGTTGGGTCTGAGTGCGTGCCTGTATGTGGTTGGCGTGCCTGGGTGATGAATGCGTGCCTGACTGAGTGCTTGAGTGTGTGTGTGACCCCGTCGGGGCCATGGATGTTGGGCAGGCCC